TATTATCCCAATTATTTGATACGTGGAAACGATAGGGACTAAAAGTGGCAAGGGCTCCCTCCTGAGAGAGGCTGCTGCAGGAATCCCCATAGATCCTGATCTCTGAGGTTTCCCTATCCCAGCACAGTATGCCTGTGCAGACTTTTTTGGGAAGATGCGAATTCACATGACATGCTCTGAAGTAGTTCGGAGCTTGCTGTGCCTCACTGTGACTCTGCTGAATGCAAATGTAACTGTGTGTGTTACGGGAGGCTGCCACAATATATACTGCACATTTCTTGTAAGGCAGCAGTAAGTACTGAGACAGGCCAGCAGTGAAACTATACATGGAGGTATTGTCTGCCCAGCTGTCTGAATTGTGTATTTACATTTTCTGTAATTCTGTACTGTATCTATCCAGAGAGGATGGAAAGTAAAGGGAAGGTACAGAGTTAGAGGAAGACCTGGAATCTAATAATAGTCCTTCAGATGGGCAATGCTCATTTTTATTCCATGTTTTATGGAAATAATAAACGTCAACATATAACAGGTTTTCCCCAAGGTGTCTCCTTCATTCAGCTACAGCATCAACTAAGATCATTTCAGGACAGTTATGCAATATTTTGCTTTATCCTTTTCACTCATTCCTTGGCCCTGTAAATATTCTGCATATCGTTCAGACCTCGATCATCACAAAAAATAGCTCAGCCTTTCAAAGTGACTTATTTCTGCACTGCCCATATGCTTCATAAACCTCAGTTATTTTGTTTTCAATATATGGCATGACCCCATCTTACTGATGTAAAGAGATATATAGTCAGACTAAAATAAGGGGCTGTCAGTCATTTTGGGATTTTCAGTTTGAAGTCGGTAGACCTGGCTTTTTATACTGTATTTTTTTCAGTTATTCCATACGTGGCTTTCATTCACCTTGGTTGCAACAGTGAATGCTTAGTAATTTTGTACTTCACTTCAGAACCCATTAAATGAGGACTACCCAGTTAATGAACTGAGAAAGGGTTGGTTTAAGTGATTTATGGACATAACGTCACATAGAAACTTTATAGCAGAGACATGAAAAGAATCTAATTCTCCAGAGCATTATTCTGTTGTCTTCACTGCTGCACATCCCTCTTCCTTCTTTGTCCTTCTTCATTCATTACATGCGCTCCAATCATGGCAACAAAAGAGGCAAGGGATCCTCCAGACAACAGGATCCTCTGTTGGACTAGATTCATCTCCCTCGGCAGAAAGATGAATAGTCATGTAAATGAAGATTGTCCCCTGGGCCTACGCACAAGGCAGCCAAATTAAGATTGCCCAGGGAGACTTAACATCTGGGTATTGCTGGCTTTTGAGAGCTGGACTTCGCAAAAGAGCGCTTTCCATTTTTAGTAAAAAGTGTTCTTGTTTATTCTGTTTTGTGGAATTGTGTTTGTACCAACGTAAGTTAGTTATCAGCAGGACACAGCAGAGACCACTGCCTGCGAGCTAATGGTGTGAATCAGGAAAGCTGTAAAGTGAAGCGTGGGAAAGCCTCACAATGGGGATCAGGGTGCAGACAGCACTGCTGTTCCCCTTCCCACTCGGCAAGCGGAGAGACTCACAATCTCTCGCTGCCATGCCTCATTTCTACTTGGAGAAAGCAGGCAGTGCCATAGGTCTGAGGCTTGTTTACTTTGCCTTCTCCCTTTGGGAACAGAGCTTGGTCGCATGGGCTCATTGAACAGTCCCTTCTTCCTAGCCAGCAAGCAGTATTTCTGTACAGGAGTCGCAGCAAGAGCTGTGCTGCCCTATTCTGAGCTGGCGTTTGCATTCCTCTAGTTTGCCCATACTGTCGCTAACGTAGCGCTGGGCCTAGCATGTCTAGAAGATTCCTGTAATCTGGGTGCAAATATGTAAACACAGTGGATATAAGGTTCTGTCCTATGGCATTTGGATTTTTTTAGTATTAGGTATAATAAACAATGGTTTTGTGCTTTCATTTTAATCTTGTTTTGGCATGGAAACATTTTTAACATGAGATAAAAAAGTAAGAGGAAACACTTAGTTCCATCTTTTAAAATAGGGGCTAATAGAAGACTATAAAACATTTTCAATCCCCAAATTTATGAATGCATACTGCTGAATTGACTTCATTATCACTAACCAAAGGATTTTCAAGGTACAAAGTTTATAAAGCATGAGCAGGATGTTCTCTAGTACAGGTCCTTTTCTTTGGAATTTACTCATACCAGAAATGCATCCAGACCCATCTCGTTTCAGAAGAAACATACTCTTGTCCCAGCCTTTCACCACCTGCTGGCTCCAGAACCCTTGGTTTGCGGCTTACTGGCAGTTTTTTCTTTGTCTCTGTCCCATAGAATTTCAGTGCTCTGCAGAATCGTGCTACATTCATCCCATGTATTTGAAAAATGTTACAACTTCTAGTCTAAGTCAGACATTGCAAATTCATCACTCAGAAATAATTTATAATGCTTTTGTTGCCACGAGCCAGATGGATGACACCTGGATTTGTGAGTGCTCTCTACAAGCGCCCATCTGTACTCACCGGAAGTTTTAATGAGAACAACTTCCCCTGAGGTACAGTTTATGAATGACTAAGACTGGGTGTGATTTAGACTAATAAACAATTTGTGTACCTCAACAAATTCTCCAACCACAAATGAGTACTGCAGTCTGATGCTAAATGTCAAATGGTCACTAGCTGTTTGGGCAAGAACATGAGGAACTGATCTGTAATATCAACTGCATGGCTTTAAAATGTTGACAGGTCCAGGCTTGTGACAAAATACAACAGACTTACTCCATCTCACATGTTTTTTCCAGCTACCAAAAATCTACCTGCAGTTTATAAATTTATTTCCCTATTTGCCTCTTCTACATTTGTAGATGTTTCTGCCATTTCAGAAACCTGAAAGTGAAATATTAATGGTCATCACAGTTTAAATGTCACTGAGCGTAGAGCCCGAAAGCACCTACACTGACTCTATTATTCCATTCAGTAAATCAAATTACTTCTTCCTTCCTGTTTCAACATGAGCCGTAAGCTCTGATGGAATTTCTAGATTGATGTCATATAGCGCAACAACCAAGGGGCTCTTCAATCTGATTCAACTTTTGTAGAATTTTGAACATTTACTTACAGAACATATTTCTCTCGAAGTATTTGCCACTTTTTATGTTGAATCACTGTCAGATGTCATGGTCTTTAGAGGAGACTTGTTTTCTTTGAAGGAAATAATATCATTTATGGCCAGAATTTTATCTGTTTTTCTAGGTAGGTACACAGGACTTCCAGAAGGGTGTGCTCTCTGCTCCTTTTCTCAAGCAGCTCTGGAAGCTCTCACTTCAGAGAGAGTACAATTCTTCTTTGCCCCCCTTTCCACTAGGACTTGCTGTCCGAGGAATAATCAGAGTTCTGCGGAGCTGGCGTATGCCAACAGGAAAGGCTGTGGCTCATCTAAGTGCTGTACAACGCACTGCAACAATACGGTGTGCGAAGCTGAAATGGAAGGAAACAGCAGATTCTGCATGTGCTGATCCAGTTTCCTAGCTTTTGTTTATGCTTAAGAAGACCGTGAATTTTCAGTTGACCTATGCGACTTGCAGCTTTTTGGGAGCTTCCGCTCTTGTTAAAAAGCCTGTCTGTCAAAAGGGCTTGCTTTGTGCAGTTTTTTCCTTACCAAGTAGTGAAACTTTGAGATGTAACCAGCTGTATCTTATTCAGCATGACAGCAATGAAATCATTTAAGCCACTGATGCAAATCAAATGTGATCTTAATGTTATTCCTGAAAAGAAACACTCTCAACAACTCCAGAGACCAAGGTCTCACTTGATCACGTGTAAGACAAATACATTCCCTTCATGCATTTATGAGTATTTGATTACTATTATTAGCATATATAGCAGTATTAGTCATGAAATCATTACCTGCATGACCTCTTTCCTGTCTCAAACTTAGAGCAGCTAATGGCTACATAGCTATTGCCTCTGGTTATCAGTCAGTGTTTTGTTACTTCTCTGAAAAGCACTTTGGTTGCTCTGCTTTAAAAAAAACCACCTTACAGAGCTCATTTATCCCAGCAAAGCAGGAGTCAGAATTTACTGGATTGGAAATAACAGCGCGGCTGTGTAGATGTGGGCTCTTCACATTGCCCTCATGGCAAAATCAGGACTTAAAGAGTATATTCACCTCCAGTAAGAACACACCTAGAATCTAGTTGAATGAAATAAACTGTTTGTTGGAGTATTTTTAAAGTTAAAAAATTGCAGGTTATATTAATGTTCTGAGATTGCTGTGAGGAGAATAATCTCACTGTGTCAGCTCATGCTTCCGTTTTTTTCTCTTTTCTCTGATTTAGAATTTAGTGTTTGCATCACTTTAGGATATAAATGTTAGCATAATGATATTATAAAGCTACTTACTCATTCAGCTCTACAGAACTTTTATTCATTAATTGTACAGTGACCAGAACAACCATGTCCTCATGCGTAATTGGGGCCATTAGCTATTGCTAAAAAAAAAAACTTTCCCTGGATAAGTCGTCTTTTATCTTTCCCCAGCTTAATTTGTATATTATCTATGAATGGCATATTTTGTCTTCAAAGGATTTTTTCACACTAAATTTTTAAATTTAAATAAATAATTATCAAATGAGAATGAGATAAATGCAGGTGATTCTATTTAGGTTGCAATTACTAACACCTTATAGTGTTAACAAAGCCATTAAAGAATTTATACTGGGTGAGGTTCTTCTCCAGAAATCCTCTCTCTCTTTCTACTTAGATTCGGCTGAACCTGTAAAGACCAGCTGAGTTACTCCTTGTTTATACCACTGGGAAGGAGAGGGGCATTTAACTCACAGCATTTTTTTTTTAAGCTTGTGACTCATAAAAGGTTTGCCAGACACTATTACCCTGTACAGTTGCCTCTGCAAATTTGCAGTCAATATATACATAAAGGTGATTCCTTCTGGACCTTTTTTAACCATAACCACTCCATTTTTTTTGTCTTCAGGTGTGGGTGGATGCCGGTACACAGATATTTTTCTCTTACGCGATCTGCTTGGGGTGCTTGACAGCCCTGGGAAGTTACAACAACTATAATAATAACTGCTACAGGTAATATCTTCCACGCTTTATTTTTACATTTAGTTTCCGTAATGGAAGTGTCCACATACTTAGCTTCGCTCACAAGTACTTCCCTTTCCCTTCTTGCATGAGTAATCATAAGCACGTGCACATATTTTACAAAAACAGATCTATAGTGTTATAATTGTTTCAGAGGAACTCTTTTTCCAAAATTTGGTGTTTTCATCCCTTTTGATCATATCCAACTGTTGCATAGCCACCAGTCACTCAGTACACACAATCGCATGTATAATATACAGAATTTCAGAAATGTATACCTGCACGTGTGTGCGCTATTTGATTGTATAATGTATATCTGCTTTAAAAAAGAACCCTACAAATAATTGTTATTAAAACTCTCCTGAGTTTGGTCTATGCTCTGAATGTCACTTTTCCCTATAGTTTGCTAGTAGAGATGGATAGCATTTCATTGCTTATCTTTATAGGAATCAGTAAGGAAATTGCTAATGAATTCAGTAGGTTTTAATCTTTCCTGAATCAATGTCAAAAGGATATGACTGGCACAAAATCCTCATTCCAGTTTACTGGCATGGGCACTACTATATGAGCACTACTATGATCTTCTGGCATCGGTATTTATTGAATTAGTTTTCCTACTATTCAGCAGCCTCTAATGCAAAACAGTAAATGACAGTTTGATTGTACCGACTCCATTATGATCTCCAACCAGAAAATTAAAATTTAATTTTTCTATAAAGGAACTGATACAGTCAAAAAGCAAAAGCAAAAGAACCCTAAACACACCACCTCCAATTTAATTTCTAAATTACAGTTCTAATTACTATTAAATTAATTTCAATTTTAATTTCTAAATTACTGCAATTTAAATTCTAAATTACAGTTTTACTTGGAGAGTTTGGGAGATGGTTTTAGGAGATGCCTTCTCCTTTCAAGGTCTTAGCAACAATTTGCTTTTCTGTCAGAGAAACACCAAACAGTAGGACCCTCCAGACAGAGAAGGAATTGGGAGACTGGAAACCAGAAAGACATGAATGTATCCACCAGCTGAATGTCTGCGAAGCTATCCCGCGGCAGTTAAGGGTGCTTTGCCATCTAAACATGCAGTGTAACTTAGCAGCAACATAAGTTACTCTTCGCTTGGCTACGACAGCCAAAATTCTGAATGTTTTGCTGCATAAAGTAGCTTAAGTCCCCTACAGTCTTCAGTGCTGATTGACATTATTTTCAGAGGAATGATAAAGATGCCTCAACAGAGGGTAATGAATGCCCCTATAGAACTGGTAATGAAAGTTTCCCCTAATTAGCATAAGTCATGCTTTAGCAAAGACATGACTCCTTTTCTCTATTATTTAATTTTATTTTTGTTTCTTTCAGACGCATCCCCTCTAGAAACTATTCTGTCACTGCCTCAAGGGCTGCAGTAATCTTTTTACTACGGTTTTGTAACTCATTACACATCACATTGATGTGTGATCAGAGAGCTTATGTAATTTCCCTTCTTTTCCTCTGACCCTAGCAGCATAGCTTGTAAAAAACATCAGCTGCTCTCTTTTTAAAGCTCCTGAGCAAGATGCTGCACCAGAACACTTTTTACTGAATTCAAGCTTCACAATTCCTCTAACAAAATGTTTTCACAAATTACCTGAATAGGACTGATTTTATCATGTCCCAAAGTATGATTCTTAAGAAATCTGAGGAAAGGGGCAGGAAGCTGCAGAAAGCAGCTGAGTTAAACAGGGCTGTTAACAGAGCAAGACAATACAAAGCAGCTCTGCAGTGGAAAGCAGAATTAAATTTGTATTCTAACTAGTACTTAAAAACCCTAAAATCAAGCTATGGATTTGCCTCTTGCAATACCCACAGTGTATGGTCTGCTTGTAACATCTACTTCCACTCTTTTTGCACTCTGTTTTAATAATTTTTTTTTTCCAAAGAGAAAGTAGCAGTGGAAAATAATGACATGAGGTATTTTAGTGGGAAATGGGAAAATCGAAACTGCACGTGGGATTTTCTTATTAGCAACTTGATCTAATTCATTAACACTGCAAATGAGTTGCAAACAGGTCACTTCACATCTTTGAATAGGAAATGAATTTTTATTGTCCTTACCTATCTTGCATTGTAATACATGAATACAGATCCTCCCTGGCTTTACAACTGCTTATATCAAAAGTGACTCATGAAAAGATGAAAGTAATGGCAGTACCATCAGCAGGCAATGCTTTCCCCATATAAATAAAAGAAAGGTGTACTGATGTTTCCTCTAATTTTTAGCAAGCCAAGAGCTCCTAATCCATTCAGACCTTCCTAAGGGATGGATTAACTTCAGACAACCTCGGTAGACAGAAGAGGAAACTGTTTTTGTTTGCTTCATGCTTTCTCTGCTTCATGCGCTCTGTATTTGCAGAACGGATCCAGCTCCCCGCTGTGGGGAACACCACTTGGTTTCACAGCACCACTCCTTTGTACTGGGGGCTGCACCTCAGCGGGGCAATTTTTATGTATGAGCCCCATGTACAAATCAGGGCTTAGCTGCCATGTTGCTGCTGTGGTGCAGAAGATAAATGAGTGATTTCACACGCTGTCAACACATGGACAAAACTTTTAAGAAATGAAGATGTGTCCTTCATCAAA